AAGTTAGAAGATGACAGCATCAAGTACAGTTGAAATGATCTTACATTGAATAAACTTTGAAAACACACGTGACTGACTATTATCAACATTTGCTTTACTTTTTGAGCCCTTACTGCTTTGAAAAGACAGCTCACTATCTCAGCCCGAACCTGCAGAACAAGATTGCAGACCCTGGAGACTGACCTCCACAAAGAAGGTTTGTGTGTGGTTTTTTGGTCCTCCAGAGCAGGGTTTTCCTACTTTCAAATCACAAAAACAAACATCCTTGAATCACTCAGCTTTTCCATGGCTGTTAGTCACTTAGCCTTTCAGTCTATTAAATCACCAGGTCTCTCCTACTCATAAGCTTCCATTTTATAGCAGAAGCCTGTATTACATAACTATTAGCTTCATTGATTTTTCTGCCTCTCCAGGTAGAATCTCCATTTCTGTATGTGTCTTCTGTTTCTCTTCTCCATTATATCCAGCGTCCCACACTGAGTACAAGTCTTGCACTTACCTTCCCTCTATTTTCTCTAGGTGCTAAGCAGTGCTCTGTGCAATGTTCTCCAATGTTTTTCTGAGGTTTACAAGTAATTGGCATTCTTATTAAAGAAAGACAATTAGCTGGCAACTGTGGGTTAAACTCTTGCTACATTATTTCCATTCATCTTCCCCCCTCCTGACTATTCTTTCAAATTTAGGTACAAAGCTGTGTGCTCTGCTGAGCAATTGAAGCTGTTCAGGTCACTTGTTGTTTCAGATAAAACATAATAGATACTATGTCCCCTTGCTCACATTGTAGTAATACTATATGATCCTGACCCAATGGATTTATTAAACATCCTTGTTTCAAATGTTTTTTTTTTTACAAACCCATTTTTTTTCAGTGTTCTAGCTTGGAGATTAATCAGCCTCCTTACCCACACCTCAAATTGCTTCTTTCTGCAACTGAAAAAACAGGTTTTCATACTCCCTGGTTTGTAGATAAGTTCAACTAATAAAAACACCCCCCCCAAACAAAAACTACTTTCAAATGAATTATAATGAATTACAGCTTTCTCTCTGCATTATCAGATCCTGTGCCTGTCAGAGTCACTGTGCACTGCTGGACCAATTGCTTGGACCAAGTTTAGAGTCAATACCAAAGCAAATACAAAGCTGAGATTTAAGAGTAATGAGTCTGTTTTGCCTCAAAATGAGGCAGGAATCCACAATATTTTATTTCTCCTCATTATTTTCAAATTTCTCCCAATATAATTTCACATACCCAGCACTTTACCCACTTGTGTAGATCATTAAAAAGAAAAAAAAAAAATCATCATCATTATATCTACAGACTTTGCCGTAATGCAGCTGTGTTTTTTTTTAATTATAATTTCCAATTCAGTACCAGGATTATTTCAAATAGTTTAATTATTCTTCCAAATGCTTTATCAAAACACACAGAGGATGGACTTTATTTCAAAATATAAACAGAGGGGAAGTGAAAAACACAGTCCAATTTAAAAATCAATTAAAACTCCAAACACTTTTTTTGCTGAAACATCAACTTGCATCTTTTGTAAGAAGAGCCATCTGGAGCAACTGCAATGCCCCACAGTACAGTAAGCACCTCCCAAGTGCTAGGTCTCACCACGTTGCCCAGGACAGCTGGAAAGAAAGCGCATGGGATTCAGCACATTTTCACAGAGGTCTCTGGCATACAGCATCAGCACACTCAGAAACATTTTCAAGAAAAGTTAAAAAAGCTAGATGGTGTTGCTAGAAAACTTATTTGATGGCAACTTCAATCCATACAGTACATTAGTGCTGGAGGCAAAGAGAATGCAGTATCTCCAGCATCTCTTCTGGGGAGGGGAGCAGACCTGGATGAACATGGACTAACACAAAAGGGTTTTTACAGTAGGGTCTGCACAGCCAGACAAGATGGCTAATCTTTATAGCAGCAAGATTCAAGCAGTTCCATCCACAAATTAATGCCAAACAAAGAATGATGGGACAGTAAAGTAAGAGCAGTCAGGGCCATCTGGTAATTCCAGACCTCTTCTCTTGTGCACTCAGAAGATCACTTGTGTTTCAAAAAATCTGTTTAGTTATCCTTAGAGTTTTGGTTTGGTTTTTTTTTGTGGAGTGAGGTCATTGCTTATTTATATTGTCTTCCCAAGTTCAATTTTCTTCTGGATGGCACATGCTGAGTGATAGATCAAGGAGTCAATGAATCCTGCAACTAAAAGGTAAAAACAGATGGATCAAGCCAGACATGCCTCAAAGAGAAAACAACTCCCAGGGAAAGAAAACACAAACCCTTCTGTCAGTGGACAGGAATTCCAGCTCCCCCAGACAGAAAACAGCTGCTGCTGCTCAGAAGAACAAGGTCCTCACCTCAAAACAAACCAATGCCTGTAGCTCTTTCTGCAGTATTCTCCCCAGATCTCTGCAGCACTGAAGGAGCCTATTAATTCAGTGCTTGTCTGGGACCACAGAAAAGCTCAGAATGGGTCTACTGCACCACAAAACCCAGACAACCCTGTACCCATCAAGGCAACTTTCACAGGGCAGGAACCCTGAGCTCCTGCCAGGGAGGGAACACAGGGTGCCAGTGAGCAAACTATTTTCAATGCCTTTATGAAGCTTCATGTTCTTTTTTCTTTTATTCAACATCTCAATCTAAGGAATAAGTAAGCAATTACTTGGCCCTACACAAAGACAGACATTTCAATACTATATAAAGAGTAGCAGCTAAAATGGGAACTAGGTCTTCTGTTTATTACTGTAGAATATGGTATTATTGGCCTTACTATCTGGTCTTTGAGTAATACTTCAGATTACTGTCTTTTGTGGTTGCTTTGCCCTGAAATGATCTCTATTTGTGGAATCAATTTGATGCTGTAACACAAAAACTGTTACACAGCTAATTTGATCTGTCCTTATAGAGAGCCCATGGCATATGGCAGCAACCACCACGAACTGGCTGTCAAAGCTAATCAGTGCTAGAGGGCACTTGCATTTGCCATGAAAATAATTTTTGAAAGCCTTTCCCTGAGTCAATCATAGAAATGAATATGATCGAATTTATTAGACAGAAATCCTGTTTAACAGTATTAGGTTAATTGAGCATTGTGACATCTACTATGTGACACAGGTATGTGATACAGTAGCTGGCTTCTCAGATCCAGTAAGATCTGCTGACCCGATCTCCAGGCTGGCCCTTCACAGCCGTGTGAATATCTCTGACTATGTTTCAGAGCACCCTGGGTTATTAGCTGGAGTGCAAGGCCGGGCTCTGCCATGTGCATGGAGCTGAGCAGATACTGATTAAGTAGAAGCCAGCACTGAGAATGAAGTCCGGACACCCAGATGGCTCTGCAGGAACAGCCTCTCCTTACAAGACCCCGTCTAGCTGTGAGGGCTATTTATCAAATATACATAAAATTATACATGTTCCTTTTCTGGATTAAGTAAAGGTGGCCCATCCACCTAGGTAAAGACTGGCATTTAATGTCTTTTGGCAGGATAGATGACACGTCATGACTCCGAGCCCATTATTGTTCCTACATACTATCGGAACCCTATTGTGTCACACTCGCCCTTTCGCTTAAGATTTTGTTGCCCTCGGCACTCTCCTGTGGGGTCCAGCTCCCGCCTTAGATAGATAGACAGAAAGAATCAGTTTATTTACAATTCATTAAGTAATACAACTACAATTCATTAAGATCTTAAAACAGTCCGTGCTTGACTAGCAAATATATGTACAATATCCACTGAAGAAAATAATGCCTGATTTGATAAATGATGAGCAACCTTTTCCTGTCAGGAACTGTAGAGTCCTAATTCTTTTAATAACTCATAATTGCCTTGATACCATCTTCCACATGCTCCTAAAGGAAATCCTATAAATTTAATAGTATTGGTATTCGCCAATTCTTGAATTTGATCTTTTAGATTTCTTAACTTTCTCTACCGCTGCATCCACCAGCACTGAGAATGCAGTCCAGACACCCAAATGGCTCTGCAGGAACAGCCTCTCCTTACAGGACCCCGTCTAGCTGTGAAGGCTCCTTTTAGTCCCTGCAGAGCACTCCCTGGAGCTCCTATGTCTGGGAACACAATCTGAGACCTCTGAGATGGCTGTGCCTATGGTGACCTGGGTTCACAGCTTTTACTGGCTTTGGTTCCATGTGAAAGCAACTATCTACTTACAGACCCAAGCTGGCCAAGAAAGCAGTACAGACGCATTCATATGGTATGTGAAAGAATGCATTATTTGAAAGCAAAATGTCCTGTAGAGCATCAAAATGAAATATTACGATAGGTCTACATCATAATGAAATGAAATATTTCATCAAATGAAATATTTTAGTAGGTCTACATCATCCACAGCAACTTGAAAGCCTGCACTGCTAATTACAATCTGATGCCATTCCCATGGCTCTGCAGAACATACTAGATCCCCTCCTGAAGGCTGAAATCATCTCTCCCCATCAAACAGGGATTTATTACCGGCCATACAGACTTTAGAAAGAGTAAGATGACAAATGTTTACACTTTAGAAAGAAAACAGATTGAAAGGTGCAATACCTGTAAATATGCCTCCAACGATGGCACAAACTCCCGTGAGAAAGTGTGTAAAGGACCTACAATGAGGAAAAGAATTTGAACAACCAGCATAAGCTCAGATACATAACAATTAATTAATAAAAATTAATTCATAATTATGATAATGTTCATCACAGCCCATAAGTATGCCTTATATAAATATTAATAGCTGACAATTAATAGCTTTGACAATTAAATAACACCTGTTGGCTACAGAATGGAGTTTGGCACTGATACTGTTACTCAGCAGCACTGAGTAGCATTAGAGCAGTGTGCTATAATGAGCACAATGGCGACCCTAGCAGGCAAGTACTGAATTTATAAACCTAAAGGATGGACTTTTAATCTCTAAGATTTTATCCATTCCTACCCAGACAAATGCACAGCAGGCTAGTGTAACACAAAAACTAACTCCCTAGGCACATGTTAATACATTTTAAGGACAATAGGCTGTCCCTCATTATGATCCTAAAAGACTGGACAGCTACAACCCTTTCCATTCCCTGCAATTATGTGCCTGTGATTAATGGAGGACCTGGAAAGAAGAAAGAGGATCCACACTGACTACAACATGCAGAAAAGCAATAGCAAATGCAGAGTAAGTAACCAGGCCGAATCAGTGTGGGCGCTGCTGTAGGCGGGAGATGGGTATGCTATATAAATCTAGTCTTCCCATTAAAGAAGACTTTGAGGAAATGAGTCTGAACCGAGAACCATTATATCAGACTTCTGCTCACTGCACTAATTTCCTTCTCCATCTTGATACTGGATTAAAATGCTTCAGGTAACATCAGAAAAACACCAATCCCTTTCAGATGTTCACACTGAGAGGAAGGGCATCTGGGAGTGCCTCTTCCTCTCCACTGACTGGGAAAGGGCTTCGGATGGCGTTCAGGCATTTGCACTGCCATGTCTAAGTGAGGATGGAGTTTTAAGCTATGCAAAATGACATCATCAATGGAGGGTGAATGAAGTAGACTGAAATGTCTCTTACCTGTGTTTCTCTGTCAGCTTCACCATCATGGGCGAAAGTTCATATAGCACAAATACACCAGGCAGACCCTGGTCTCCTAGTAGCCCGTTGGCTATCTTCTCATGTCGTGTAACTGAAAACTGGTTAGTCCTTACCACCTAGCAGGAAACAAACACAGCGAATGTTGTTTTGTTAATGAGGAATAGGAAAGACTACTAAAACATGAGTTCAGTGAACCATATCAATGTAGCCCTGCCCACTTACTTGTTGGGGGCCTGGCAGTGGTTACAAAGGGTCATAAAGAGCGCCATCAGGATCAAGTCTATTTTTACTACAGGCTATCAGTTAAAGCCCCAGATAGCCCAAAGAATGAGTGATGCATTAGTCCCCAGGCTCGACTGTTTTGGTCCCTGCTGGCAAGTAATGGCATAAGCTGTCCCTCTTGACCTCAACCCCAAGTCCACATTATCCTTTACCAAAATGTAGTCCACCTAAGTATGCTTCAGAAGACAGCACCAATGTGAGAAAGCCATATATATTCAAGAGTGAGAAAAAAAAGAAATAATACATAGAGGCAGGAGAGTGTCAGGGCTGCAGTAGGACACAGATTGCCCATCCTTATATAAACGAAGATCACCCTGCAGCATTCTCCTGCGCCCTGCAATTCTTCTACATGTTATTCATACCAGTCCTATTCTTAGAGCAACTAAATTGGGTTTCTGTAAAATGAAATTAAGTTCCATCATCCCTAATAAGCTATCTGACACTCCAAACTGAGAAAGACACTATCCAGTTTCTTTACCAAATTCCATGTTTGGGGGTTCCAAGTACTGAATGTATAACACAGCCCCTGGTATTTATCTGGCAGCACACTTGGATCCATAGTTACCATAAGTATAAGCATCATGGTCTGCATGGATTCCTCTCCTGGTGACTAATAAAAGCAATTCTTTTGACAGGAGAAGTACTTTGAAAACTGAACAACAGCTCTACAGTAGAATGCGGGACTTCATCAAGAGAAACAGAAGCAATGGTGGCTTATGGCACTGCGAGGTGGCCATAAGAATAGGGGTCTGATTAACTATCCTTTGTACTTCAGGAATTTCAGTCATCCACAGAACTGCAGAGGCATCCTGAATCCAAGCAGAATGAGCTTCAAACATGGTCTGGTATCACCTCACAGCAACTAACTTTCACCCAACTTCCAGGAAAAAACAGATGGGTCCTTTCTAGGCAGGGGATTGAAGAAAGAATGGTCCACAGAAGTATTTATCACATGAGAACTGAGTCTTGCAAACAGTTTCAATCTTTAGGGCAGATGAAGAAATCCAAACTACGTCCACCTTTCCAATGGATTCTGTTAGACTGCTCTGCCCACACTGCTCTAGGAGGTTATCTTTGCTTGAATGTCTGCATTGTATCTACTGTGGCCATGCAGCTCCTCAGATTTGTGGTTCCTACGCAGCCTCTGACATTAATAATCTGATGGTGATTTACATTTCAGAGTGCCTAAAGCAACATGAAAGTTGTGTGGATGTGCAGTAGAATGTTGTTCAGATTGCAAGGATCTGTGGTACATGCCTGAGAGTGGCACAAGTTTGGGTGAAGAGCCTGAGGTGGTAAGGGTTCCCAGTGTCGTGGGGTTTGCACAGCGTTATAAAACTGCGTAGGACAAGGGAGTCAAATTCTGGCATAATTCCATCCACATGTAGATCAGCCTTTGCACTGAACGAGCCCCAAAACCCCACTTGGGTTTCACCTCAGAGGAAACTGGTTTGCTGGTAAAGTGAAGCCGGGCATGGACCACCCATGCAGCGTCAAAGCTACAGAACCAGAACCTGGGTTCAGCTAGGGAGCTAAGCCGTCTTGTATGTGAATGTTCACAGAGGTACTGGGGCATGCGGCACCTGTCTCTTCCTCACAGGGTCAGATAAGTACACTGGGTAGCACTGGTGGTGAAGTCTGCACAACAGTAGAGCTGCTGCCTCTACTGGTGTTTTCTTTGCAAAAGAAACATGACAGCTTACATCATTCTGCTGCCCTAAGACTATGGGGGCCCAAATAATGATAACTGACAGGTTTGTTTTGTTTTGTTTTTTAAAAAAGAGATTCTCTATAGTTCTTGAGATCCCCTGCAGAATGACAGTGACCAAAATAAATGCTTCCAAATGAATGAAAGAAATCACAGTTCTTTCTGCTCCCTCAGGCTGGTTTCAGAAGAGCGCATAAGTTTGTCTCTGTTCTCAGGATCTTTGTCTCACCCTGGTATCTCCTTGGTAATTTGTTTATCCTACCTGTCCCAAAAGAAGCACATATTCTGAAAGCAGGGCTGGCAATCTACCCACTCTGCCCTTCCAGAGGTAAAAGGAGTTTCTAAATTGTAGACAAGCTGGTCTTGGGCTATTCTCCAAAGAACATTTTTAGGATCTCCTTCCTACTTTGATTCCTCCTGAGCATGCACTAGGAGGGATTCATGACCGAACATGATGAAAATGTCATGGTCACTTCGATCTAGGTGGGATGGAGGAGGCTGAAATCTGCTTCATCACTGCTGCAACATTACACATAACATTACACCATAGAAATTGTTATTCTTGCTGGGGTGGTTATATGAAGAAAGTCAAACAGATTGTGTTGCTTCCACCAAGAGGTCAGGTATGGTCAGCATCAGAATATGAGAAGAAAGTCTGAGGGCTTTCACTTGCCAAAGCAAAAGGGAAAAAAGGTACTTACTTCACCATCTACTTTCATATACACCGTGGGGACCACTTTGACAAAATACTGAAACATCATGGAAGCTATAAGCAAAGGCAGAGAGACACAATTAGTAACTGGCAAAGAGCTGGAAAGCTTACCCGACAGGTTAGGCAGACACAAATTGGTTTTGTTCAGCTTGTCAGGGAACATCTTTCTGCACAACAGCTAGCAGAGGTTTTCAAGGACAGTAGCATTAATGTCTGGCACGAATTTTCCTTTTGCCAAAGTGAATCTTGTCCCTGTTCCAACCAAAACCAAAACTACTGGCATTTTGACCTTGACTAAATGGAAAACTTTCTACAAACCACTTATCTTGCTATAGTTTTACCAGTACAACTTCTTGAAAATTCTTGTTCTAGCACATGAAAACCTTTATATTTAACAGCATAGTCCTAAGAAAACATACTCTAAATGAGTATCCTATACCAACTTCAATTAATACTACAGTTTATTCCTGTAGAAGCATGGTTTTCATCTTATCAGGAAATGAAAAGGAAGATCTGGATCAGTAAAGAAAAAAATAGGAGGAGAACTCCTTGCTGCCTCAGACCAGCCTGTCCCTTCAGTTCTCTTGAGGAGTCGCTTTGAAAACCTATTTTCTATGCAAATCCCTAGAGGAGAAGATTATTCATCCATTTCTACAGAAGTAGTAATTCTCATATATAGTATCTTTAGCTGGTCTGCAATAAACATAAGTTTGGCCTGTAATCTACTTCTCCCACTTCTTTTCCGGAACACGCCTTAAATCCTAATTCCTCAAGAATTTGCCAACTGGTTCTCTGAGGCCCAGGATGGAAAACTTCAGCCTACAGAGGGAATTTTACCAGCCAGCTACGGGCCCCCTCTCAGAGAGTTTGTTACTCCACGGAAAAACTTCAGCATCATGATCGTATTGAGCATTATGACACCTTTTAGTTTTTCTGTATTTCATTTTAAGCACCATCTTTTGATTTGGGTACAAGAATTAAAATCGATGGTGGAAAATTTAAAAGAACCGATTCAGGTAGGATTAAGAATCCTACCACCATCTCAAAGCAAATGGCTTCCTTCTCCAAGCTTTATTATATAACAGCACTCCAAGTACCTGCAAAGACAAACTTTGCAAACTTCAGCGGAGTTAAATAAATAAAAAAATAACTAATTTCTGCAGTGGCATACCAAGTGGTACAGTCAGGATCTTTCATGGAAAACACACACAAGCAGGCTTGTGTGAATAAACCAAGATTATAGTTTGAACAGCAGTAGCATGAAGAGAAAATTGCCTTTCCTTCTCAAGCCAGCAAACTGGAGCTATCTAGAAAAGATCAGCAATATTTGAACTTCACTGCAGCTGTTCAACTGTTACTGTTGGGTAGATCAAGGTCGGGCAGACACCACGGCTCTCCAGCAACTATCAATTAGGCCTTTTTTCTCTATCCTGCATCTTCTGGTTATCTCCTACTGCACACAGTAGCTAGACATGGCTCTCCCTGAACTATACCTGATGTAGGCGTTTAATACTGATGTGCTGTACCTGCTGCTGTGTGTCCATGAACACTGAAAAGAGAGATCTTTCCGAAAGGTCACAGAATCAAAACATGTTGGCAGATTTGTTCCAGACGAATGGAGGCAGCTGTTCCAGAAAGAGCACAAGGTGGAGGAGTCCACGTTTTACGCAACACTGTCAGGGTTCTTGTGAAAGACTGGGAACCTTGCTCCTGTTCTCTTCTAACATTATTAATACAGACACTTAAAAAGAGATTTCTCTCAGCTGGCTTTTACCTTGATGGGCAGTGACGTCTGTCCCATCCAGAGGGTTCACAATGCCTGGATAATCCCTTCCAAATGAGAGATGTTTGATATGGTGCGTCATATTGATCTGAAACAGAAATGCTAATAACTCAAACAACTACACAGCATCCAAGAGGCAAGGTAAGGGGCCTAAAGTTAATTATTTGTATATTTTTCTGAGTGTGGCTCTGGAACAGAGACAGGTCCTCCCTTACTGAGCGCATCCTAACAGCAAACTCCAAAGCACTTGCTCTTCTTTTTTATTCATGGGAGATCCCAAGATGTGGAATTTCTCCTGTTCCTGCTGGAAATCCCCAGATCCCGGTGCCCTTCTCTCCCATCTACAGAACAGGCTCTCCCACCCGCTCCTCTCCCTGCCATAGGAGCACCATGCTGTCAGCTGCCTCAGTGGCACAGGTATGGCTATCATCTGCTTTCCTCCCAACAGAAGGTAAATTCCAACAGATCCAGAAGCAGTTCTGAAAATGTCAACCTTAGAAAACTGGGAAGCACAGATTAAGGAGCAAGGCAGTCTCTGGAAGAGGGGAACAGGCTTGCCAAGCAACATGCAGATGTCCCAGAACATACTTCAGAGCCCAGTGTGAAAGCAGGTCCCAGGTTCTGCTCAGACTCATAAAGCCAAATCTGGCCAGGATCAGTACACTAGGATCTCAGTGCAGCAAAGGGAGGGAAATCCAGAAGGAAAATAGACCAAGAGAACTAGAACACTATCTTGGAAACACTTACATTATCAAGTCCAAAGCTCTGCAGATCGTGAACTGTAACAGAGAAATAGTTTAACAATATAGTTCAGACTGTGATAACATGCATATCTATTTACCTTATTCTAGCTTATATGGGAACTCCTCTCATTTCCACCGCAATCTAAAATGGCAAGAAAATCGCCTGGGTTTCTCTCTTGCTTGCAGTAGGGCATGCAATAGATAAAACTGCTGCAATTCCCCTCCTGACGTAGACTAGCCACTGCCAGAGTGAAGGAAAAGTAACTGTAATTTGGGGTTAATTCAGATTAGGTATTTCAGTCAGCGCCTGAATGTATTCTTAATCTAGGGCAAAAACAAGATCCCAGGGGCAAGCAAGGAAAACTTCACTGTCGTCTCAGTCACTACCTGATACACATAACTCCTCTAACTACTGTAAAACAAAGAGGCACAACAGATCTAAACTAATAACAGCTGAGCAGAGCACGTGCCTTAGTATCACATGCAAGTGCCCTAGAGAAATCATCATCATCTTAGCAACTCTCAGTGCTCTGCCTATCTGCCTTCTTACGGCTGCCCACACAACACACAGGGAAAGGAAAGGAAAAGTCTTTGCAGGCACGGCCTCAGCTGGGTATTTGCAAACCACCAGTGGGGCCAAGGTGACTGTCACCAGTGCTAGGATTTGGGAAAAACACACTTTAAAAACTGTGGGGTATTATTTTAGGACCTGATGGAGTCAGGTCACCAAGTGCTGCTACATTATTAACAAAGATTAGGAATGCTGCTCCCTTGAAGGGTTTCTGACACACAGCCTAGCACCAGACAAGCAGCAAAGCTAAAGAACCGATTGAAACTAGCCTCTCCTTTAAAACATTTCATTTACTTAACATGAGTGTCCTGTGAATTCATTTTTTTTTCAATTAACATCTTTCAATAAAACACCAGAAGCTTGTATCTATATAAAACCCTTACTAAACCCAAAGACACATACATGTAAAACAGAGAATGTACAGTTAGAAAAGGAAATGCTAAGCCTAAACTATACTCCTCCTAACACTCTGATCTGGGGAGAGGCCCTTGCATTTCACAGTTAAAATGTTCAATGCTCAGACACTAAGGCTGCAGTCATTGGAATTAAGGCAATGGTTCTGCATTACAAAGAGCTCAGAGCTGCACTGGCTTCAGATACTCCTGTTGCTTTCTCTGACAAGTGTGCAGATCTATCACTGCCACTAGCACAGTGGTTTGTGTGCCTGTGCTGGCAACTGGATCACAGAACTCATTTGGCTTTAAAAAAGAAACTCCTACTAAAAATTTGGAAATAGATGTGAAATGGTGGGCAGGGAAAGGAAAGAAGGCAGAAGTGGCCTTGGGATTATGCTACCCTATTTTTCTTAACGGTTACCAGCAACACCCTGTTTCATGCTGTAGTATTATTTGCACTTAAGTCAAGATTAAGTGGCTTAGCTGTCAGTGAAGTGTCAAGTCCAGCTGCCTTTTGTACAGACACCAGCAGGCAAACCTTCAGTTAATAACAAAGTTCTACAGAAATTCTGGCTCTGGTGGATCTGCATTTAAACTGGACCTACTGCCAAAGCAACAAAAGTCTTTGTCCCCCCATCTTTCTGTTGATGGCTCATTCTTGTCCCACCCTCCTTTTGGTCATGAGCCACATCGGAGAACATAACAGGCTGAAACAGTATTGTATAAAGTATAAAAGTATTGCTTTATGTGAGGCTATTCCTCCAGTCAGAGCAGCTCCAAAGTAAGGTTAATCATACAGCTGCACGAACGCTCGTGCTGGCGCAGTGTAGCGATGCACAGGGAGGGACAGGGATGCTCCTCCTGGTAGCTGTGCTCCTAGAACCCTACGCAGGATTATGGTGTTTATCAGCTTTAAGGCTTGGGCAGTCACATTCGTTAGCATGTGAAGTGGGAGCTGAGTACTAGTAAGGCTGACAAATCTTACAGTAATAGCGCAGTACTAGAGACATTCAAGGGCAGCACTTGAGAAAGACCAGTCATTAACTAACCTGTTATACTAGATTTATATCATGCGTGATCCGTTTTAACAGTTATGGCTATCCAAAACAAAATTTCCCCACAGTGCTCTGCTATGCCTTCTACAGATAAAACGCCAACTAATTAGTTTTTATAAAACTCCCCTCCAATAGATGATTTACATCTCTGCAAAAAGGCATGATTTATATGTTCAGTTTCTAAAACAGTCTTCCACCAGACCACAGGTTTATTTATCTCTGATCACTGAGGATTATGCTAAGCACATGTGTACATACTCTAGGTTGCAGGTAAATGTTTAGCTAGCCATAGTTTGCTTAACATAAAACAACAGGCTATTTAGCCAGCTTAGGGAAGAAACTGAATGAGGATACAGAACAGAAGATCTTAACAGACTGTCAGCTAGGACCAGAGACTGTTATTTCTAAAGAAACATAAACACATTCCTTCCTTTCTGTAACTGCAGCTAAGTGCCTAGCTAGGTAAAATAGAGACCTGTAAAACATCTTAAGTTGGTCAAGAAGTCTGCCTGGTTTTATATAACCTAGTTTTCTTTACTGTTTTAGTAACACAGTTTTAAGAACTGCTGTCTATCTGAAGAATTTGGCCCATCTTGCATTTCTGACCTGAACAACACAAAGCCTCCTTAGACTCTGAAATTCAGTCCTTTACCTGTAAAACAGGGTTAATAGCACTTACAGCCACTCAGGACTCTGTCAATAAACACATTAAGACTGCAAGAAACCCAAGACACAGCTACCCAAACACCCTGCTCCAAGGTGAGCTAGGACACCAATTTTCAAACTGGGGATGAATTTTCTGGAGGAAAATATCTTACAGGAGCGCAGCGGCAGGAAGATTATGAGTGGCATAAGGATACATCGCGTAGAGGGGATTGAGGCCGGGAGCAACACAGAAAATGTTGCAGCTAGGGGAGGGAGTAAGCAAAGCCGAGAGCCTGAGCCCTCTACCAGATGTTACTGAGTCAAAACATCACATCTCAACCTGTAATCACCATGATTACCTTTACAAAAATCCAATGGCTTACAAACCCTTGGAAAACCTCCTAACAAGTATGCTGAGATTAGCAGGCTTGGTGCATGAATTCCCAGGAGAAATTCTCTAGCTTGTTGTACAAATGAGATTAAATGAGATAATTATCCCATCTGACTTCAAAAGGCAGAAGTCTCTCTAATGTGTCACCATGACCCCTTCAATTACATTATCTGCACAGACCAACTAATAACCCACTAACACATTACCTCCAACACTGATATATTAAAATCATTTAAGACAAAGATTCTCAGCCTTTTCCATCTGGTGACCTCATTTACCACAGAAGAATGACCTGGGATGGCTCTCCTTTTAGCTTTCAGGATATCTTCTCAAATCCCAGCCTAGATCAACAGCTCCTCCCAAAGGAGGTTTATGGGCACAGCAAA